AAAAAAAAAAAAAAAAAATAAAGCGAGAACGCACACGAAACACTTTGGAAGAACTTTCGTTCTCGCGTAAAACAAGCGTCTCTTATAAACCGGAGAGTAATTACACCACGGGTCTGGTTGAAAAAGTAATTTTAACGAGCCGTAAACCTGTATAGACACGCGATCGTTATTATATGGTGAATTAAAAAATTCAATGTGTGAGCCACGCTAAATATAGACATCGTTCTTCTCCTCAGTTATGACATTATGTCCCACGAATATAGTATTCGCGGGTCTATGAACAGTATGTAAATGATAAATAAATCAACGTATCACGATTGTTATCGCTAAACTTTTTCTTTTTAACGCGATAGTTGAGTTGACACGAGTTAACAGAATTTCCGAAACTTTCTTCCCTTTTCAAAGAAAAGATCGTAAAGAATATAATTTTATGCGAAAAAAATAAAGATGCAAATATACTTGAGAATAAAATTTTTCTAAAAGTTTCAGAAAATATTCGAGAATATTTTTTGGAAAAACTTGGAAATAAAAAGTTACGTACGGAATAATAGGGCGAAAAATATTCTCGAGTATCGATCTTAAAACATAATTATTTATATATATATATATATATATATTTAAGATAAAGGGAAAAATCGACATACCTGGTCGAATGATCGACGAAGGATCCACCGTCGAGGAGTCTGAGCTTGGCGAACAGCACTGCGTTCACAAATGGCACCGCGGTGAGCTCCTCGAGGTCCACCTCCACTGAGAATTTGTACTTCTTCTTCTTCATCATGAAGGCCATCTCACTAAGACCAAGACACTTCACTTTGACCGCGACTCGCTTACTCGTGGATAAAATGGGACCGGAGAACGTCCGCGATTCTCCAGCTTCTTACTTGAAAATCCTCGATGATTTCTTCGAGCGGAGAACGTGGTACACGGTACACGGGGCACGCGAGCAAAGCGGAAATTGTGCACTAAATGCGATCATTTAACGTGGCTCTTTCGCAGACAGCAACTAGCCGACTACTATTTTCACTAATTACGTTTACTCTTTACCAAAATATCTCTTAACGTTTTCTATTCTGCTACAAAAAAAGGCAGTTCCACGTTCCTCCTCTTTTTCTCCCGTTTTTCCCCTTCTCTTTCTTATTAAATCGTAGTGTCGTCAAACGATCCGTTTTTCTTTTATATATAATATATATATATATATATATAAGGGAATATATTTTTATTCGTAGATTCGTTTTAAAGCTTGGTCAATTTCGAGCGACGAAGCTGAACACTTGAAGCCGGCTGGGCGGATCTTGTTCGAAGCTTCAGCGACATCCCTGCTGCTCACTCTGTCTCGCTTTCTCACACGGACGTGACCTTCTTCGATCCTTATTCGATGCCGACGCTCAGAAACGGCAATTATTCGTGCACGCCATCCTCGTCGTCGAGACTGCAAATTAAACAAAATTAGTATCTTATTGTTATTATTGAGTATCTTATTGATAAATAAAAACTAGGAGGAATCGTAGCCGCGTTTCACCCACGACTATTACACCCGTATACGTAACACGTGTTCGTTTAACGATATTGACGGGGATAATTCGAGAGCCCATGGATCTGGAAACTTTTATGACGGAACTATAAAAAAGGACAGTCTGGTCTGTTGTTTGCTTCTGGAATTCTTTGAGAATAGACACGTGCTTGGTTAATGTCGATTCTGATTTTCAAAGTCGTTATGTATAGTTCAGGTTATATTATCGTTTAACGCCTCGAATGTTGATGAAAATTATATAACGAAATCCTTGCTGTAATTATGACAATTTTTTAAGAAAATTTAATATTGAAATGATGTTAAATATTCATGCATATTAATCGGAAAAAAGTTGTATACAAAAGTTATAATTAGAATGCGAATTTTTATGCAAATATAAAATATATTCCAAGTTATTTAATATATATATATATTCACAAAGTATATTAAATTATTAAATTACATTTGTAAAATAATTTTATTACGTATATTTACTTATCATAATTTGTTCTATGATATACATAAAAACAATTTTTCCAAAGTCATAAATTGATATTTAAATTACATGATTAAATTTGCTTCAATGTCACACTACACTATTTTCTAAAGTATTATTAACTATTACACCATTTTCTTTTTATTTTTCTGTTCTTTTCTATCACGATATTTAAATATTGAATCAACTGTATCTTCTTATTACGAAAGATTTATTTATTATACGTATCGATACTTATTTCGCTCGATATACAATAAATCATTCGCGTGCAAAATATGCAAAACACACGTAATACGAAAAATACATATTTGCACAAAAATCCGCAATCTAATCATAACCTAAGCGACATATTTACCAACGACATCGGCGACAAACGACCTATCGGTAAAAGAGCGAACTAACAGGAGCGAAAAGCAACATCGAACAAATACATAGTAGCGTTCGCGGGTGAACGTTCGCGAACGAATGTCACTGAACCTTTATCGACATTTTCAATAGGCACGTTCACGCGACTTCGAAACCTATAGTAGAATCGACGGACGGCCAGTCGTCGACGTTGGACGTTAGACATCGCTCTGCACAACGGCAATTGTTTTGAAAACGCTAATTGCGGCTGGGAACGCGAGCAAGCGAAAATGAACTCGCTCTTCCTGGAGTCGAGTTACAAGCTGCGAAGTAGGTGACCGCAGCCCTCCAGTTGCTCGAGGCGAGAGACCGAGCTCCTGCATTGCTACGAATAATTAACAGCCCTCGATGACTCTTTCGTCAATCGTTCCGACCATTCACACTGCACACATTGCACACGTATGCGCTATATTATAAAAAAAATAAAAACGTTATGACATTATCGTACATTTGAGGATAAAACTATACAAAATTAAAGAAATTATATAAAAAATAATTACTCTTGATTATATTTAATAATAAACTCATAAAATTGTGATAATTGAAATTGTATCGTTTATATTTTGAATCTTTTAATTATTCTCGGATATATTTTTGCAGATGGACATTCTTTCGAGAGTGAATCAAAGCAATCGAAAAATAATTTTCATCATCGATGCTTATTTAGCAAAAATCAAAATTTAGCAAAAATATCGAAAGCAATTCTTGAGAATTTTATTTTTAAATCTATTTGTATTCTTAAAAAAATGAACTATTGTTTAAAATGAACATTTTTGTTTATTTTATTTCTATTTTATATTCAAATTATATTTTAATTTTTTTTTTATAAAAATTCATTTGATACGTTAGTATAAATTTAAAATGTAAAAATCTAATCTTCTCAAATTAAAATTACAGTCACTTTTATTATTTTTAAACTTTAAAGCTTTTAATTATTTGTCAATCTATAAATCAAAGCAATAAATTTCTTAGATACGCGCTTCTCAAAGCAAAGATAATTAATTGAACTATAATTTATTATGATAAATATGTATAGATAATTCAAAGATAAATGATTACTTTGAAAATAGTGCTTTCAAGAAATGTTATATGCTGTAAAAACTTACGAACATGGAAACTCATTGAATTGTCTAAGTAATAATTGATTCGAGAGAAACAATAACAACTATGAGTGAATAAAACTTTATACGCAGACTCATAGTTCGTTAATGAAGAGTGAAAAGCAAGTTTAATACGATTTATCGAAATCAAATTTCCGTGAAACAAGCAACCTTGAACAGATTGAAAATGAAAATATAGAATTTATATGTAGCAAATGAATATATTAAAATAAATTATTTATATACTTAAAAAAAAGGTGCGATTTTAATTTAGAACGATAAGATAAAAACTGCGTGTAGTTTTGAAATCTCAAACTTCTAGAATCTTCTTTCTTTGATTGTTTGTTCCTTCTTGTTATCATTATAATAAATAGGCTTCCACGTAACTGTGGCGAAATACCTTGATTGTCGTTTAATGAAAGATAAAAAATAATTTTTAACTTATCGATACGTCATCGATAAAAAAAAGAACAATTAATGTTTCTTAGATTATAAATTATTCTCTAATAATCATAAAAATCTATATTCTTGTTTGTTTATCGTAATAATTTTCATTGTGATTTAAATCTAATTCTACTAAATAAAAAAATATAATAAAAATATTCGCTTCTAATTCATTATATCATTAAATTGAAAAAAACGAAATTTATCCGATAATATAAAATATAAAAAAAAAGAATTAGATTTTCTGTTGTAAGTATTGTAGTACAAACTATAAAAAATAGATCTCATACTTGAAGAATCTAGCATGAATTCAGTATTTGATTGATATCTATCCGCAAATATTTTATCGAATAGATAAAATTCTGTAGAATACTTTCTAATTATGATAATGCAATATGATTCTAGATATTATGAATTACTGAATCGTTTAATTTCATAATCATATGCAATTGCTATTACTATTATGAATATATAATTATCGAAAGCGAAAAAGAATTCACGAATCTTCTCGAAATCTAATTCACACGTTATTTGACCTACCTGTCTGATTTTCCATATGCATTAAAAATTAAAAGCATTAAAAACACGGTTACTAGTATTTCCACTAATTTATTTAAACAAATTGTCTGTCACGTGAGACTCACTAATAAACTCCGTTTATAATAAGAAGTACACACATGATTAAGAATACTCGACAAATGTGTTCTGTCCCGAATAACCTTGCAATGAGTATGCGAAAAAAAGCGCGAAACAAACGATAATCGTGTACATCGTATGGAAATGATTTCGGCTACTTTCAGGTCTAAAATGAAAAACGGTTAGAAACACTATAAATAATCGAAATGATATTTTCGAATTAACATTGGCTTTTCTAAAGATAAAATTAAACGAAAATAAATAAACGATATATTATTTTCGCCTATTACTATAATAAACCAAGAGTTAACTACTATTTTTAAATTTGGCGATACATAATTTGTAATAAGACTCAGAAGTATTCCATCATCTGTCAAATAATATCTAAGATAGAACATAACGTTGTAATGTATATAGTTCGTATTTTTTCAATACAAACAACTATACTAAAGTGATCTACTGAATATTGTCACAACATTTCTTCAATATATTCACAAATTTTGAAATACTCTTAATGTACACTTTATTGAAAGAAGAAACGAGAGACAATTCGATACTTCACAGAAATCGTCTCATGATGGCAGGTGCAGAACAGTTTCTGTCTTTATAACCTCTCTTTTCATCTCGCCGATGACGACCTAATAAATTTACAGATTTTTCTCACGGATATATTCAATTCTACAATATACAGAAACAAAAAAGATTCTGATATTAATGAAAGCACGATAAACCGCAAAATTACCAATGATATGCGACGCCCGTTCCAGAAAAGAAGCAAAAAAAAAAAGTCATTAGCTCTGAATTGTACTCACTTGTCTTCGACTTATTCCTGTTTTTATTGATTTTAGCCGACTTCGCACATTCTTACACTTTTCATGATTACAAATTCACTCCTCGAAAAACCACGAAATTACGAGTCTCAATACGAGAACCCGATAATTTTACAGACAAAAAATTTTCCTCACATCCGACGGAACGGAGGTCGTCTGTGAACTGACGCGTCTTGACTTCAGTTTGTTCACCAGTGTTATAGCACCACCTATCGTTAACTATATAAACTATATTCATGCGAATATTCTATTGGTCCTAAGATTAATTCACTATAAGCAAAATACTTTTCCTGATTGGTTATATCTAAATATCCAAAAGAATTTCCGGTACGCTTTTGCATTATTCTGTCACTAACAACGAATAACTTCCGTTTTTTCGATAATAACGAATAATATTCTCTCCAATTAGAATAAACATTTAGAAAGAAAACTATTTGATTTCTAAATTTAAGTATTATACAATGTTATAAACTAATAATATTAATTATGTTAGAAATTAATATTAAAAACATTATTTTTATATGAAAAAATTCTTTAAATTTATAACTTTTATATTATTTAAATAATAAAATATTATATATATATAATAACGACAAATCGTATAATAACAAATATTTGAATACAATTATATTAAATTTTATATATTATATATTTATTTAATTTATTTATTTAAATAAGATGAAATTATATATTTAATTAAAAATATTTTAATTATATATAAAAAAAGAAACTATATAAATTATGCGATTTATAACGTTTAATAATTTTTATGAGCATACTTGTTTCTATTATTAAATTATTTTTATTATTATTATATTTTAATATGCTCGTAAATAAAATAATTATAATAAAAAATTTTATATTTATATCGGATTTATATTTGTATAAAATTTTTCAAAATACATAAAAATTTATTGATGCAATAAAAAATATAAATGTTCTGTTTATGATTACATAACATAAAAAAATAGATGTAATTAAGAAAATAATCTACATAAGCAGAAAGCAACTAAAGTTGGTTCGAAGTTGTTGCGCGCTTTAAGATGATTTGCTCGTAATTCATTGTAACAAAGCAGACTTCCGGGGCCTTAGTACTCGAATGGCTGACGCCAAGGTTGTCTTTTCTGTCAAATGAAATTATTTCTGACGCGAGTGAAATCATGTAAATGTTCATCGATACTATTGAAAAATTATTTAAACGTAATACATCGATGCGTGGATTGTGGAATTGGGGTGTGTCCATAGTTTTAATCAACAATAACGCAAGAAGAGGCACCGGTGTCTCTTCAAATTTTGGATCCATCGAGAGGGTAATCCCTATTCTTTGCTAGGGGTACGAATAAAAGCAAACATAAAAGTGTTCACCAGCGAAAATCAAGGAATAAGTCCGCTTAAGAATGCAATTCAGATGATCCGAAATACTTGACAGCCAAATCGACATTATGAATTCGAGTTAGTGTGCTTTTAATGATGTCGTATCGAACTTTATATGCGCGAAGCTTGTTTTGCTTTCCTATCTTGATTTAGTGAATTATTTTGTTTGTATTCAATTGAATTGTGTTAATAAATTGAGATAGACACTTAATTATTAGAGAATTCTGTTACAAGTATAAATTCTTTTTACCCATTTCGATTGTTTGCATTGAATTTATCATTGAAATGATATTCCCTAGTTATAGAAAAAATAAAAATTGAATTAAATGCATTTGAGAAAGATAGTGAATAAAGTGCAATCATATGTGAGAAATATATTCTTTTGCTTGTTTCATTTCATTCTATAAATAGAATGCATATTGTATATCTTCTATATACAGTAAATGTGCAATTAGTTTTATCTCTAAATTTATTATGTAGTTGTGATCACAATTAAATTCATATATTTTTGTGTTTTGTTTTTAATCTTCATATAACTATTAAATTTTAAAATATATACATGCATATATCATACATATATACATATATATCATTTATATATATATGTATATATATATATATATATATATATATCAAATTTTTATATAAAAATACAAGAATATAAGAATACACTGAGTAAAAATTACCCTAATTCTTTATATTATTCTTCATCATGAAAAAATAATAATATTATGTATTATGTTATAGACATAGTTATGGAGGATAGTATGAGTGTTAAATCAATGGAATCAGTGGCAACAAGTGATGAATATGAATTTGTAAATGACAGAGGTAATGGAAAACATCAACAAGCATTGATTGAACAACCAATGCTAAAAATTGCCAATAACGGCAATTTCGAAGATCTACAAAATAATCTTCGTGAGGTTTGTATATATTTATATTATTTATGAATAACAAATATTAATCTATGTTTTTTTTTTACCGTATATTAATTATTATCTGAGTGTTTGATAAAAACTAGGTATTAACAGAAGATTCAAAGATGGAAAGTAATGAATATAAAATTGTAAGCAGTGCACAAACTCAACCAAAATCTAAAAAAGTAGGCCAAAGTAAGTTTTATGATGTAAGTTCTTGTATGGTTGCATCTGAAAAGCAAGATATCATGAAACCAGAAGATTATATTGATGAAGGTACAAATTATTATTTCTATATGTTAAGTATAAAAAATATTTTATATATCTTCTATAATTTATTGTATTTTAGAAATAAATTCCTTGGCTCATGTTCAACAAGAATGCACTATTTTTAATGGTGTAACTTATTTGGGATCAGCAACAATAAATGCACCAAAATCAGAATGTGAAATACAACGTAATATGAATATATTAAATGCAGAACAATCTCTTAATTTGGGAATTAAAGTATCTGTTTCTGTGCCTAGTAGTTCTCAAGGCTCTGTTGTGTAAGTATAAGTATAATTAAAAAAAATTATACTGAATTTTTTATTTTATATTATTTCATTTTATATTATATATATATAAATATCATATGTTATATTCATCTAATAGATTATATGATGCTGCTACTCAACAACCAATGGCACATTATGAAGTACAACGAATTTTGTTTTATGCACGTGGTGAAAGTATTGGTCCATGTGCAGCGTGTTTTGCTTTTACATGGTCACATGGAGATACATTGGAATCTGCAATTTATCAGTGCCATGTTTTTCGATGTGACATACCAGAAGCAGTACGTTTAATCTTTATAAAATAACATTATATGATCATAATAATAAGTCAAAATATATTAATCTTATTATTCATTACAGGTAGGACAAGTTTCTGCTTGCTTTTCCAAAGCTTTTCATAGAATACCACGATCAATGACTAGTTCTTTAACAGGAAGTGATTTCAATGGTTTTAATATTGGAACTGAAAAGACTAATTCTCGGGTATTTATTTTCGAAGTAACAATGGAAATAAAAGAAGAAGATGGCAAAGGAGGTTTCAGTATAGTTCCTAAGGACAGAAATTGCTTCAAACTTCGAAGTAATGTGGCTAAACAAGTGTGTTTAAGTATTCAGCAAGTTTCTAGCAAAGAAGGAGGAATTACTCTTGAAGTTGAAAGATGTTTTGGAGTTCTTGTTAGTCCTGGTCGCAATGTTAAACATAGTGATATGCGCTTACTGGAAATGGTAAAATTAAATATATAAAAATTAAATATTCAAAATTTAATTATATGTTTACTCTTCCAGTAATAAAATTAAATTATTGTTTAGCAAGTCAATGCTGGTCCATTAATTCAAGACAAACAATGTTATAACATATTTGGACATTGGGATCCTGCAGATCCAGCCTTAGAAACTCTTAATATTGAAACTCCAAGAGAAGAAAAAATTTATATGACAGTTGCTGTTGATTTAGTAATACGTGGTATTCGAGAACCTGTTAGATTTATAATAGAAACATTAGTTAAAGTATTTCCACAAAATGAAAGATTTTGGTATTTTAATAAACGAAATCTTGTACAACAATTTTATCTTAATTCGAAAGAAGTACGATATTATTTAAAATATTGATTTTTTAAATTAATTTTTTAATCATCTCAGTATAAACTTTATAAATATATACTATTATTTTTAGATAATATCCGGAGATGGAACAGAAGTTCACTATGAAGTACAAAGTATAGAAACTTCAGGAGAATTAGACAGAAACAGATTAAATCTTGCTCTTAATTTAGCATCACTGATAAGATCTCCTTCTTTAACTAGTATTGACACACTTACACCCAAAGAAGAAATAGATTCAGGTTTAAAAAAAATTTGTATTTTATTTAAAAGAAAAAAATAAGAAATATATTGATTATGCCTTTATATTATATTAATAGATGGTGATGAACCAATGTTAAGTGGTACAGGTGAAGTATCAAAAGATTGTTCTGCTGATGAATTAGCTAATTGGGCAGAAGTACTTGACAGTTGGCAAATAAATGAACAGCGTCCAAAACTTCTTATAAAACTTACAAAACAAGGTATTCCTGAAGCTTTACGCGGTGAAGTTTGGCAACGTTTAAGTAATTGCGATAATTCACAAGAAATGATGGATAGATATAGGACTTTAATTACTAAGGTATGTAAAAGTAATATTGTGAAAAATTGTATTTCATATTGTATCCATGGGAAATTGCATTATTTGTATTGTATTATATTGCATTTAATACAATCCATAGGAAAGCAGTTGTGAGAGTGTTATTTTAAGAGATATTAATAGAACATTTCCTGCCCATGACTTTTTCAAAGAAACAGGTGGTTTAGGACAAGATTCTTTGTACAGAATAAGTAAAGCATATGCAGTGTATGATGAAGAAGTAGGATATTGTCAAGGACTCAGTTTTTTAGTTGCTAGTTTATTGCTTCACGTAAGTAGTTGACATAAAATGATTAATATTTATAAGAAATATATTTATTTGTATGATAGTAATTTATTATGGTATGTAATGACAGAAAAAAACATTAGGTATTTTTTGTAGATGCCGGAAGAACAAGCTTTTTGTGTTCTGGTTAAGTTAATGTATGATTATGGTCTAAGAGATTTATATAAGGATAGATTTGATAATCTTCATATGAGATTTTATCAGCTTAATAGATTAATAGAGGTTTGTAATACATGTTACTAAATTAAATGGGATTATATAATATTTCTTACTTGCAATTATTACTAATTTTTTAGGATCAGCTGCCAGAATTATATAAACATTTTTGCGATCGCGGTGTAGAAACACATATGTTCGCTGCACAAT